GAACTGCCTCGCCATCTCGTTAAGAGACGACCTACAATCAAGGACCGTTCTGGACGTAGAGGTCTCCGACTCCAGCGCCCGGTCTGCGGTCTGGCTGTCCGTGAAGATCCTAACACTTCCCACGGACACCACATGCTCACCAAGCCAGCCAGTGGTCCGGCAGGCGGAAGGAGAGCTCAACTCCCAATTGCTCGAAGTAAACACCCCCACCCACCTTTCCGTCAAGTTTGGATCCATCCGTGTAGAAATGGACGGAGCCATCCCTGACCGCGTCCTGCCAGCTTTGCCTCGGCAGGACCGATGCCGCGAAATTCCTCACGAATGAGAGCACGGGAGGAACCAAATCAATTGACGCCACCCCGTTCCCACAGTCCGCAAGAATCGAAGCGTGACCCGTGGGGTAACACGACCACTGTGATGCCTGCTCAGTATATCTAATGGCAGCAGAGAATCTCAAGAGCCTGTGTAGGGGTGGAGCGCAGATTTCCATCAACACACACAATTGCCATCCTTTGAACCCAGCTGATTACCCTCAGGTATAAGGAAGTACGGAGCGCCGGCAACCACACCAGAACTCCGTACATCAGAACCGGTCTCACCACCGCGGTGTACAGCCAATGAACCATGTTTGTTTTCAGGCCCCACCTCTTCCCGATGGCCCTTTTGCACGAGTAAAGCGCAATAGTTGCTTTCTTTACTCTCTCCATGATGTTAAGCCTCCAGTTCAGCTTTGAATCCAGAACAAGCCCCAGGAATCTAGCTTCTCTGCTGAAGGATAGCCCGATTCCGCCAACCTTCGGAGGAGCCACGCCCGGAATCTTATATCTCCTACTAAAAATGACTAGCTTCGCCTTTTGAGGGTTAATAGATAGTCCACAGTCGGTCGCCAAGAGCCCTCTGTATCAGCCCATTTAGTGCATGGAGGTGCTTCCCAGACACGGCCACTGCCACGTCATCTGCATAGGCGACCACCTTATAGCCCTCCCCCTCCAGGAGTACTAGTAACCGATTGATTACCAGGTTCCAGAGAAGAAGAGAAAGCACACCCCTTGGGAGGGTGCCTCTTCCAACAGAGCGGCAAAGCTGGCCCTGATGGATATGCCCGAAAGCATATTCCCTATCAGGGCAGTCAGGGAGCCATGAACCGCGACCTGACATTGTTGAAAGCGCCTTCAATATCTAGGAAGGCAGCCAGTGTGTATTCTCCGCAGTTAAAGGACCCTTCAATGTAGTGTATCAAGGAGTGTAGGGCCGTTTTCGTTGACCTACCCTTCCGATACGCATGTTGTGCCGGAGACACCCACCTCGGGTTAAGGTTCTTCCTTATGTATGCGTCTATCAATTTTTCTAATATTTTTAGTAGAAACGATGTTAGACTAATTGGTCTAAAATCCTTTGGGCAGCTATTAGAGCTCCTCCCAGTTTTAGGAATGAAGACGACCCTGGCAACATTCCACAATTTTGGAATGTGAGCTAGGTCTATACAGCATTCGTAGATAATTTTCAGCCAGGGCAGGATGACCTCTGGTGCATTTCGTAATTCCGCAGGCACTATATCGTCCGGGCCCACCGACTTTAAAAGGCTGAAAGCTGCGGATAGCCCAAAGAATTCCTCCCTCGGTGATCACTTCCGAGGAACAAGATTCGCTGTCGTAGACATCTAAAGCAGACTCCCCAAGGATTCCGGGAAGTGCGCATTCAGAAGCAGCTCCAAGGACTCCGAAGCACGGCTGGTCCAGGAGCCGTCAGCTGCCAGCATATAACTCGACACGACTGGGTCACCTGCTAGGACCCCCCTTAGTCTAGATGCCTCCACAACCCCGCCAATCCTTCCGCAAACCTCCCTCTAGGAGGATCGCTGCGCCCTCTTCAGCTGACGCTTGTATTTTCTGAGGTCATCCTTATATGCGTCCCAATCAGATGATGACCTGCTGAACTTTGCTCTGTTGAATTGACTTCTGCATTTTTTCCGAAGAGCATTCAACTCCTCGGACCACCATTGCGGCTTTTTTTACCTCTTAACCGAGTTAGCGAACACGCCACCCTAGGGGCGCCATTTATTGCGTCGATGAACGTGCAGACCATACTATCAAGGCCCTCACTTGTCCGATATTTAGTAATAAAAGTGGACTCTGAGCCTCTATTACATAATGTGAGGTTAGTGCTTAAAATAAATTCTAAAAGTGACTAACCTCTCATGTTGGTGTCCGAGCTTTCACCGGTTTCCTTAATGGTTATAATCCCGGGTTACATGATGCGCATTGGCATCGCTCCCAATAATAAGGCTGGTTCGGAGAGACTGAGCCTTCTCCACCATGTCCTTCAAATTCTAGGGCGGTAGCTCCCCCTGGAAGTCGAAGGGCAGGTATACTGATGCCTACCAAGAGATACTGCCCCCAGCTTCAAGACTGACTACAGTCAAGCCTTCATTACTGTAAAAAGGTATTAGAAAAGCATTTAAGTTACTTTTAATAAGTATGCATGATCTTACCTTCGAACTGCCGTCGCTATAAAACAGCTTGTATCCTGGCGTCCTCAGTCCGCTGATCTTTCTGCCTGCTATCCAGGGCTCCTGGACCAGGACTATATCTTCTCCACCCCTTTGTAAGCGGAGAAGAAGCGCAGCTGAAGCTGCTTTAGAGTGGTGGAGGTTGATCTGAATTGCACGAAGCATTACTGCTTTCGTTAACCTCCACCAGCGTCTTATCTGCATCCTCGTCCAGATCCAAGTCCAACAAAGCCCCCTCCAGATCCAGAGCAAGATGCATTACATCATCGTCTGTCAGCCCCGCTTCATCCCTATTTATTATTATGAGGGCCTGCCGATAGTCGCCCTTTCTCTCTTCCAACTTTGCCACCCGCCAGTTGTCTGTCGGTAAGTTGGGATTGCTTAATCTGATCATCTCTAGGATGGTATCAGTGTTCGACGGCCCAGCTGGAATACAAGCTCGAGCGATTTGGTCTTTTGCAACGAGCGCAAGCCTAGCCCCGGGCCAAACTTCCCCTACTCCTGCTATTGCCTTTTATATAGGTCGAGAGACCTCCCGTGCACAGGCCACAAGTTTGACAAATCCCTGGTGCCAACCTTGGTCTCTGCACGAGGGATATGGGCCTGGATTATCCTTCATTTTTTGAGGAAAGCCCGCTATTAGTCGGCTTTCAACTTTCCTCCAATTCTCAGCAGAGATCCTGCCATTTTCTTGTGCCTGGTCAACCACACCGACAACAAGATGGTCCTTCAGGATTTCACTAAAAGGCCTCGTAATGGATGCGCTCAAGGGTCTGTTTGGTGGCCTTGGCTTTTTAGTTTCGTGAGGTGGTTCCTCTGTGGAACGCTGTAGTTTTGTTGCCACGGAATTCGACCGATCCTTTCCAGGTACTGCAGAAGTCCAGGTAATGCAGAACGCCGTACCCTATGGGCCCTTTGCGAGGGCGTTATCGTTGCTGACGGCGTTCTTTTCTTGCTCTGGCCAGAAAAGAAAGCCGTCCTATTGTAGCCGCCGAGCTACTACCGACACTAGGCCTGACTGAGTCATAGCTTTGTGTGCGGTAGCTCGATCCCGGTTGGGACTCCTTACGCACTTTAGGTTTTACACCAGTACTTTTAGCATTCTTGGTGCTCGCCTGCGGTTTTTGTACTGAACTCGCCCTCAACGATGTTTCAGCACGGTTTGCAGAAACTGGCTTGGCCAAATTTCCTTCCGGCTTTTTATGAGTGCGGGACTCATCCACGTTTTTTGATTTGCGCTCTCCATTCTGATCCCACGAGTTGCGGAAAAAGGATGTCGATCTAGGCAGAGATCCACCGTACCTAAACAAGGCTAATTAATGCGGAGGGCGCCAGGTATCTAAAAGCCAGGAGCCAAGTTGATTATCAGCATGGGTCGCGTAACATCTTAATCCAGCCCAGGGGGAATCAAGAGCGATAGGATGTAGTGGAGGGATAGGTGCAGGGAAAGGGTTTAATTGTCTTTTGGTTTCAGGCCTCATCTGGGGATACATCCCGAGACTCTTTGACCCTACTCAGCTGCTACACCACGGCAAGGTAGATAATGCCGTAGAAGTGTTACTAACTTACAATTTGAAAATACAGTGCCCAAGCGACTAAAGAATTTAATAGGGCTCAACATTTTTAAAATCGTATTCGAATTTAAGATTCTATTTAAATGAAGGCAATCAAACAAATTTTTCAAACAAAAAAGTATAATAAAATTTCCTTACCAAAAATCTATTGTCAAAAGTGTCAGTCAGATCTTTCATTTGATTATGTGCTCCAAGCAGCGCCGGCTCTATCATATATGAAAAGTAGGCATTTGAAAACTTAAAAATTAAATTTTAAAGCATTAAAAGTTTTTTCAATTATTTCCATTAATAGAAAACACATAATGGCGTGGCGCACTTATTGGGAACCGCGTAAGACGCCGAACAGGTCAGAATCTGGTCTGATTCTAAGCGGCATATTTAAAACTTCTATACACAAATTGAAAGTATCAGTCTTTTCTTGTAAGTGTAATATAGCAAAATACATAGCGCAATGTTCAATTAGGTCTTAATGCAAAAATTAAGTTCAATTTTAATAATCCAGAGTTCAATTTTAATAATCCAGAGTTCAATTGATATTTTATTTAAATATTGATTGATTGTTCTCTTAAGGTATAGACCTGGTACCTTAACCATATGTTATATATATTAAAACTATGTATATATTATGCAATTCAAATAGTTTCGTGATATTTTTCATAATTGAAATATAAAATGCACTTTGAAAATTTTTAAAATCATTTTCATGTTCAATCATTAATAAATCATACACATAACTTAAATTGAAATTAATAATTTTGTAATTATCAAGTACGTATAGTAATTGATTCCCTCAACAAAAATTTCCAACTAAAGTGTTTAGTATATAAAACGACTATAATAAAAATCCTCATAATTCATAAAATCACGTATAGAACTACTTGAATAACACAAGTTTTGAAATTTTATTAAATTAAAATATGAAGCGGAAGTACAATTTTTTTGAAATTTATAATAAAATTATTTTAATACTTAAAGAATATTGTCTTAATTGTTCGATAGCTGGATTCGGTTATATTGCTAATGATAGGTATCTATAAATTATACTATGATCTTAAAATACTAAAATTATTAATAATATTCTATGTATATAACAGATATCATTTTACTGAAAGAATTTTTTGGTTAATATGCGTTATTATATCATCAGTTGGATCATACCATTTAATTCAAGATTATATGCAAGATTTTGAACGACAAGCTGTAAGTTTAGTTATTGAAGACTTGCAACCAAGAGAAAAATCAATTTTCCCATCAATTGGAATTTGTGAGAGAATTAAAATGGAAACAAATGCCGAAAATGCAGCTAAAGTTTTTGCCGAGTAAATAAAATATTAATTTAATAAATTAATTTAAATATTATTTTATATTTTAATTTAAAGGATTAGAAAAAATGTGAAATTAAGAGATTTTGATGATTTAGAAGTTGAAAATATGGAAGATTTTGTGATGAAATTAGCATTTCCCACTGAATTACATAAAAATATAATTGATAGCTGTTGCTATAGTAAAGATTTATTCTGTCCAAATAGTAATTACAGCTATATAATGGAACATGTACGTTAATTATTGATGTTTATGTTTTATATATATGTGTAACTAAATATGTATATGTGTGTGTAACTAAAAAATCTCTTTAAAAATTTCAACAAAGTTTGTGTGGCAACAATATAATAAGTATATTAATTTAATTTATATGTACATAATGTAGATTCCAGCAACATGCCCTGAACTTTTCATGGAATGCAAATGGAATAAAAAGAAATTTAATTGCTGTGACTACTTTTATAAAATGCATACAAGCATGGGCAAATGTTTTTTATTGAACTCAATTCAAACAACTGTGTAAGTTAAAATTAGTATTAAGTTATTAAATTATAATATAAAAAGAAGACTAACAGGTTATCTGAGGCGCATCTTGGGCACTTGAAATTAACCTAGATTACCCTCATTTTCGATATCAGCTCTTTCAGTTATCTGTTAAAGTAGCGGGCTTTTTTCCTCAACGGAATCTCCTACTGAGTCCGCGTTATGGAAGTTTTTTTTTTTAGCGTACCTTGTGCCAAACCTTATTCGGTGGTTATCATATATTAAACTAGTGTATCCGATAGCTTCGCCTCTACCTTTTAGAAAAGCTCTACCCACAGTTTGAGGTTGGTCGACTATCTGTCGACGACCCCAGACTGAAGATGATCACGTTCCGCCTCACTCATCTTCTTTTCCTGAGCCTGGCGTGCCGCCGTCGTTCATACTGTAGATGCCTGTGGCCTGACAATGCACGATCTCTCTGGCTTTCGTTTTGGTTGTTGCTGTGACGACGTTCCCTAGATGAGTTTCGTTGCCACATGACGATTCAATTGTCTCCTGACTGGAAGCCAGTACCTCGTGCTCAGACGAGTCGCCAACTGATCCTTGCCAATGTAGTTGTGTTTGGTTTTTGTTGTTCTTGTATTCCATTTTTGGTGTCACTAGTTTGCCCGGAATTACCGTCCTGACATGGCCGACTTACCAGGACAAGGCACTTGCTCAACCGACCTTTTAAAAAAAAGGAATTACAAAATTTTTTTTCTGAATATTCAAAAATTAATTAAAAGAAATTAAGACCAAAAAACTAACGTAGACAGCACATAACCGACTGCAAATTTTTGAAACACTAATCTCAAATTTGAAATAAGCTGATAATCTTCCAGTTGATCTAATTCCAAAAATATGTATTTGTTTCGTAGTAGAAGTTTTTTTTTGTTATTCTGCTATGCGATTACGACGACGTTTCATTTCTCTTGCCTAAAATTATATTATTTTGGCATTTCAACATCTTTCTATTTTCAGACAAGGAAAGAAAAATGTATTAGACTTACGAGTCGGCCTCGGTATGGATGATGCCTTAATGGAATTAAAATTACACAGAGGATTTTTTGTAAGTTAAAGAAAAAATAAATTTTTATAAACAATATATGTATTTATGTACATAATATTTTATACCTTTGGTCGTGTAAAAATTAAATCAATGTTTAGGTTTTCTTATTAAACGAGGAAGATGTTCCAGAGGGTTCACTTGGTTTTCTTAAAGTCCCAGTTGAATCTCAAACTCTTTTGAAATTAAGTTTGGCGTAAGTTAAAATTACAAAAACGGAATTTTGAAAAAAAATATTTTTATACAAGTATTGCAGGAAAGTGTATAGAGTTACAAGAAAACGGCGTTAATAAAGATTTCATTACAAAGGGAATAATTTTTGTCAAATCTCAATGATTTCTGAGATGCACGGATTTTTCGGAAAATTTGGTAGTTTTTACTTGCTGTTAATCATCTGGTCTTAAAGTTCAAGCACATTTTTTTTTAAAATGCTCATTGCCATAAGTGTTTTTAATCATAATTTATTTTCCTAACCCTTGGCAAGAAATAATATTTTTAATTTTAAGGCGTCATATTGAAATATTGTCAATCTATACGCGATTTCCTTCAATACTGTAACATACGAGTAATATAAAAATTTTTATCAAGAACACACCCACTTATATTTGATTTAAAATAATTTTTATTGTATTATTTAACAGAAATATAATTAACGACGAAGGTGTACGTGATATTCCTCCTGCTTACAGGTTTAATAAATACATTTATTAATGATTTTTTACAATTGACACAGATTTTAATTAAAATGTTTGTTTTTCCGATTTGTTTTTTATAGAAGATGCCGATTTATTGATGAAAATGAACCTGATTCTATTTTTAAATATTATAGTTTTACAGCTTGTGTCTCAAATTGTTTTAAAAGGGTACGTTAATTGAAAAGAAATTATAAACAAATTATGCAATAATTAATATCTAAAATCTAAGTCATCTGATTAATTTATTATAACTTAACGACTGTATAGCAAAAAAGAAATTATAATTAATACCTTTATCAATTTTTAATTATCAATTTTATTGCAATTATGGAAAAATTTTTGAATAGTATTAAAAGCAATTTAAAATTTTTAATCGCATAATTTTATTTTTAATTAGAAAAATATCGAATTTTTAAAAAGATAAGCTGATTAATTATGAATTAATGAATATTATTTTAAACAAAATATTGAATAAGTACAAACATTATAAATTTCAAATTGAATTTCGGTTCTCCTGAAAGTATGCAAAAAATATGAATTGTGAAATATTCTCTTCTAGCTTTTCACCGATTATTTTCTTTACAACTTTTTTTCTTTATGTAAGATTTGGATTAATTAATTTAAATTCTATTATTAAATATTTATTCATATCTATAATTATTTTTATATTCATTAAATATTTTAGCTTTTATATTTGTTTTTATATTTCAGGCTCAATTAAACATTTGTAATTGTACATCTTATCATTATGTACCCGAATCGTTTTGTATGCGGTTTAAAAAAAATTAAATTATATTCTACAATAAATTTTTTTTTTTTCAAATTTTCTTTCAGATGATCCTAAACGACCATCATGTGATTTAGATGGTTTGAAATGTATAGCTGACAATGACTTATGGTAAAATTAATTATTATTTAAAAGCAATTAAATATATACATGATTCAAAAATTTGTGTTATTCTAGGCTACCAACACCTAAACGATTACAACCTTGGAATGAAAGAACAATAAATTGTACATGCTTACCGTCATGTAGCGAAAACGAAATTCTTATAATTGAAACTACTGTTAAACCTGCGTAATTAAAATATAAAAAAATTTTTTTTATCATTTTTTTTATCCGACCGCATTGCATTAGGTAGGAGACGTTATGTGATGGCATTAAATTGAATTTTCGGTGGGAACGTAGGTATTTTTCGAAAGTGTAAAAAAAACTCTTTTTAGAAAAATGTCTGCCTGTCCTTCAGTCTGTTAGCCTTTCTGAGCATATTTGTATCTTAACCGATTTTCATGAAAATTTATGCATGGAACGATTTTATCAACTTTTGGTATATGTCAGGTTTCATAAACTGAACATCTATTGTAGGCCAATTTTACATTTTTTGTCAATTTTTAAGAAGCTTTTCAGCTGATTTACAATATATAAGCTTATATCTGGTTGTACAAGAAACTACTTAACTTTTCGCTGAAATCAGGTGTTGGCAACTGGATTTTTTCTCCAAATTTATTTATATACTTCATATATATTTTTGCTGTTTTGATATAATTGGCAGAATTTCTTGAAATTTGATGCTCGATTTCTGTTTACAACTAGTAGTTCTGCTTTCTAACCAATTGACGAACTTTTCAAGGAATTCGGATATCATAAAACGAATCTCTACTATGAGCCAAATTAACGTTTTACTAGGTATGTTAATTAAAAGCTTTCTTTAGCTTCCTTAAAATTTAAAGAAGTATTTAAAGGCAATTTTTATGATTTTGTGCAGCATTTTCTCTAAACTATAGACCCTATGCTTTGCGGTCGGAATTATGTTCCAGATTTTTTCATATATATTGGTTTTGTATATATCAGATTTTTTTTATACTACTTTGAATTTTATTATATAAGTTGCTTTTAATGCAAAATTTTCTAATTATCAAATATAATACAGAACTTTCAGAGGATGTCAAGTTATTGTTTCGTTAATGAATTTACCATACGAAAGATATAGAAGGCAAACTGTAAGAGGTAAATTTTGAATTCCACTTAACAATTTATAAAAATTGGGTACTAATAAATAAACACCACAAAATTATTACAATATTCCAACACATATTCAAATCAATAAACACTTACTGCTATCACGTCCTATGCAAATTATTAATTAACCGCAGGATATTACCCGATCAGTGTAAGAACAGTTCAAATTATGGGAAATAAATATGGGGAAAACCTATAAAGCCTATTGTTAAAGTCCCAGTATTTTTCATAATTTATTAAAATATTTGTTAATCAATTCCAAGGGTAAATTTGGTATTTGTTTTTTAAATCTACAACAATTTAACTAAATTTTTTCGTTTTACACCATCTTTTTTTTTTTTGTTGTTCTAATATAAATTGGAAAAAAAACGAAAAAAGTTTATCAAACCTTTTTTTTTTTAGTTAAAAAAATTTCAAATATGGCAAATAAAGTTTTTTTTTTTTTTATCTTGGCATATTTTCTATTTTTTTCTTCCTGCTTTTTTTTCACCCAAAAATAAACATTCTACAGAGATAAATCTCTTTTTGTTCTCTTATAACCTTGACTATTAAAGAATTTAAGGAAAGTTTTTATTATGGTCCATAAACTACAGTAAAAAAAAAGAATAACAGCGAGTGTAATAGAACAACTTTAGAAAGGGATTAGAAATAAACTTTTTATCCTCTATTTCCTCTGAATAGTTTTTTAAAAAATTTCCCAAGAATTTATTAAAACAAAAAGCAGAAAAAAAAAATTAAAATAAAAAATGTCAAGAAAAAAAAAATTTTTACAACTTTATCTACCTTTCCTTATACAATTTTTTTTTTTAATATTACAGGTAAACTGGACATTGTTGTTTCAATTGGAGGTATTCTTGGATTATTTATGGGTGCTAGCATTATAAGTGGAATTGAATTCATTTATTATATGATAACTGGTTTCTACCAGCATTTTATAAAATAACTTAACATTAAGAATTTTTAAAGAGTTACCATATATCATAAAATTTTGCTATCACATATGTATATAATAAGTATTATGAGTACATATATATGAAAAGAGTTTAATACATTAATAATTTAGGTAATTACAATGAACTTTTATAAAAGTTTTCGGTTTAAAATATTAAAAACATTTATGAGAATTGAAGAGACAAGTGGACAAACGGGTTAACTAACATAACGACGAAAATCGAGCTGCTCTAGAGCTGTATACCTAGAAACTTTAAAGAAGACGGTATTGACAGTGCACATAGGAGTTAAGTAACAGAAAGATTAATATTTTTACAATTTCTTAATGAACAAAAGTATTAAGATGCCAATGTAAGTTAACCCCTTTGTCCACTTACCGCTTCAATTATTAAACTTTTCATAAGCTATATAAAATATTATGTTATAGCAAAGTTAAGCACAGAGCTATTTTACGAGTATTATAATTTCAAATGCAATAAAAAATTAATGAATATTTCTAATTGAATTTAATAGTAATTTTTTTTTGAAATTTATTTTAAACTCGTGTAGTTTTTCAAACTTGTTGTATATAATATGCTTGTGAGAAGACACAATAAATCCTTATATACTGGTCACGATTCATTGTTACGCCGTGTGTACGACCTACAATATATTATATAATCTAGAAAAGTCCTGCCTGCATTTGTAATTTTATACAACATTATTATTTATATAATAATGCCAAACTATATAATGTAAATAATTAACATACTATGCATACATAACTAATTCTAACAGTTAATTCAGTGTTTTTTTTTTTTGAAACATGGAAACATTTTTTTTTCTATAAAACACATATTTTTTTTTTTTACAAATTTTGTTTTAGCACGTGTTATTATTAATAAAAATTTTTCCAATAATATGCTAAATATGCAATAATATAATAATGAATAAATTTAAATTTTCCCGACCGTACCGCAAATTATAATTTAACTACAGAAACACGCAATAAAGAAATAGTAACAGTTAAATCCGCACTTTTTCTTAAAAAACCCAAGTTATTGTCAACAAATAGCATAATAATAAGAACAATAATTAAATTGTCTACCACATAAAATTCAAAAATTTCATAGTGACATAATACCTCAATACCGTATACCCATATATACTGAAACAAAATAATTCCGATACTTCATATTTTTACACATAGATGACCATGTACCATACTTTGTGAATACTTAAGGTTTCGGTTCCTAAATATCACTGTGAACTTTATACTAACATTGTATATTCTTATTTTTAATAAAAATGTTGTAAATCTAAAGTTAACCTCTAAATTTTAAACAAACCAGCATATTTTATCTCGACCTTGATTTTATATTGTAACGCAGTTAAATTTTTCAACTTCCTCTATTTCCAAGTTTAAATTTGTGTGTTTTTGTACGACTATGTTCTCATTATATAGATTTCTCTCTGTTTGAAACACCTATCTCTGAATCCCCCTGCATTCTGCTTATAAATTGCCAAAAAACCCAAAACAACCCAGCCGGCAACATCATTTTTTGTTGATTTTTTCTAAAGATTTCATTTACTTTATAACCTGATGTCATGGCAATCTTGTACAACCTTATCTTACTATCGCATTAATTTTGAACAGGCAGCCTAACTAAAGCTATACAAAGCTTACAACATTGCTCTCAATGGAAGCAAAAACTAGTCGAGAAAACTGTTAAAATTTGCAAATTTATTAGGTTTTTTTTTGTGAACATAATAACAAGAAACTTTCAAAAATTTATATTCAGAATTTGTACAGCTTTCATATGCATATTATGAATTTTTTTTTTTTTGACATTCTATTAAGAATTTTCATTTGAAAAATATGGAGTTGGGCCACATAATTTATTATTCATTTCAATAGTTAATTAAATTATTGTTATTATTATAATATTGTAATATAAAAACAATTTGTAAATTCATTTTACAAAATAAATAAAAAAAATTAATTAATTGTGATCATGCCCTTTTTCAGTTTATTCCTTTATGCTATATATAGCTTTGACATCACAGCAAAATTATATATGTATGATATATGCATTCCCCCTGTAAGTGCCATTACAATAATAAGCGTGGAGAAAAAAAATCTATTTTATTTTAATTTTTTAATTGAATAAATTAAATTTTAATTTTTTTTCCAAATTCAACGTAATATTTTAATTTAAAATATTATAATAAGTATGTATATACTTATGTATAATAATATAATTTTAAAAATATGGGCACATTATTATATACATACTTACCGTTCAATATAATAGGCACTTTTTATAATTCGTGAATCAAATTGCTTATAAATTAATCAAAATCCCATATATACATGCTTAAATTATTTATTTATACATATTCCAGAGTATGGGTATTACAGATCTATATCATTCCGATTTAACGGTGGCATGTCAAAGTCTGAGACATTAATCAGTTAATCAGCTAGTCGGTCAGAGAGGGAGGTGGTACCCTTAACACTGCTACCCTATACTACGCGAAAAATAAGGCTGATCGACATTCCTCCACGGCATTCTCTTCCCCACTAAAACAATCCATGTCCAATTAAAGATATTTAACCAAGTCCTCTGATTTTCAATTCAGGAGATCGACCGCTTTCAAGACTCCTGCAATTCTTATTGCTGTACGTCCTCCACTACCCCGCACTGTAAGATTATTACTGAAAGTAGTAAGACATAGACTTGCAAAATTTCTGGTTTGCAACGAATTTAAGTCCATTTAGCTACATCTGTCCGTCCATTTCTCTGTTACTGCGAAGACTATATATAAGAACTGCAATGTTTAAATTTTGCGAGTCTGATAAAATAGGGGTACTATTCTAGATTAGACTATCGAGACGTAAGCTCATTTAAACTATCTTTAAATATTACTTGGATTCCACAAATAGTTCGGCTTTAACGCTTTGTTTAGTACATTATACATTCAGTTTTTAAATTTCCACTTGAACGTCATATGTTAAAAATTTCGAATTTCTCTTTGACCACAATAATTTGAAGATTAAAACCATTTTTTTTATTATTACTTAGTTATACAAAACTATTTTACTTTTATTTATTTTTAAAATAAATTATTTTTAATTTAATATTAAAACAGAAAATCAAACAAATACAAAAAAAAATAAATTAAACAATTCAATATTTTTAAAAGGACAAAAACAAAAAAAGGACTAATTAATTTGCAAAATTATCATATACAAATTATAGGTCTTATATTAAATAATCTAAAGTTGGTTCAGCTGTTAAATCAGAAAATAAATCTGTAAATGGATGTATCATACAATCAAGATCAACTGATGCTAAAAATGGTGTTGAAAAATCTTCTTCAGTAATATCATTTAAATTTTTATCATTAAGATCAGGTAATATTAAATCTAATGATTCTTCAATTAAACTACTTGCACTACTATTACATGAACTAAATTCATTTTTAATTATTTTATTATCATTGTTATTATTATTCTGTCTAGGACTATTACTTTCTTCTGAGAAACTTAATGATTCACCATCTGATTCTAATATATTATATGATGTAAAATCACTATAATTATGTTCTTCGAATGCATTCATTTTTCGATATTTTCGATTTCGATTTCGATTCATAATTTTATTTTTTTTTATTTTTTTCGTTTCATTTACTATTGATGATGAATTTGATGATGATGATGATGTACTATTAAGTTCTGATAATTCTTTTTTTCCATTTTTAATATCACAGTTTATATCAAATTTGGTATCTTTTATATTATTAAATTTATTTTGATCTAAATTAATTGTATGACATTCATTATTTGTTAAAGCATCACTTAATGTTCTAATATACATCATTGCTAAACGTAATGTTGTAATTTTTGTTAATTTCTCATTTGATTGTTGTTGATCGTCAGCTGATGATGATGCTGATGATGAATTATAATTATTATATGATTGTGGAACACATTTTCTTAAATTTTCAAATGCTAAATTTATTTCACGCATACGTGTTCTTTCTCTAGCATTTGCTGTTTTTCTACGATATTTACTTAATGGTGGTGCTTTTGATTTTGTTATTTTTTTCGATTCATTTTTTATTTCTTTATTTGGATTATTATTAAATGTAAATGATTGTATATTATGGCTAGAATTATTACGCCTTTGACGAAATGAATAATTTCCATCTTGTTTTTTATTTACCATTTTGTTGATTTTTTGTTTTTTTGTTACATAATATGTAATCGTTTTAACTATATACCTGAAATATATAGTTAATATTATTAGAATAAGTATATAAGTATATATTATGTATAAATGAAAATAATATTTAATTATTATATAAAATATGTGATTTTAATAAAAATTTAAAATTCACACATGGAACCAATTATTAATTGTGGATTTTTATGTGAAGTTGTAAGGAAAATTCTGGCTTGTAAGTAATTTTTCAGTTGTTATAATGCGGATATAGTAAAGATTTCTCTAAAAAAATAGAAGGCCGGAGTACTCATTGGGGTACCTAATATATTAAAAGTCACAGGTACTTATGGACATTTTACCGATTATTAGAGTACTAGCTAAACATTGAATTATTAAAATCCTAATTATATTTATAAACTATTATAGGGTTATTGTGCGAATACAGTAAAGATTTCTTTCGAAAACAGAACAAGTTAAGCACGAGTACTCATTGGTGTACTCAATTAATCAAAACTTGCAGGTATACTAGCTTCACATTGAATTAATAAATTCTCAATTATATTTGAAAAAATTTTAAAGAAATCTCAAGAGAAGAGCAACTTTTATAGAAAGACATTAGCAATTTTCTTAATAATTTTTAAAGAAGAGATTTTAGTGTAATTTTATTTAAATTTTTAAATTATAAAAATTTTGCTTTAATATTGATTGATTTTAATTAATAATGAAAGAATAAACATCTTGACAAAAAAAAATTTTAAAATATTCAAAATAATTTTTAAATAAAAACAAAAAGAAAAATAGAGAAAACAAAGAATTCTAAAATTAAATTGTATTTTCAGCGAAAATTTCATTTCTTCTCTTTGTATTTAAAATAATCCAAAGTATACATGTACTCTCGCAAATATGTATGTACATACATACCTAAGAGTACATATCACAAATTTTATATATGAAACAATCTTTCATCACGATTTTTCTTTCATTTTGGTTTATGACTGTGTTATTCTTTAAGAAGGATTTTCTTAAAATCTTATGGGATTAATGGTACGAGATGGTGCTCTTGCTCTCTCATTTTTTTAAGTCAAATTTTGTATATATAGAAAAACATATTTAAAAGGTTTTTCTTTGTTTTCTGAGGTTTATTTTTTTGTATTATTTTTTGTTTTTCATTTTAATAAGAATATGAAATGACAAGAAAATTTAAGTTCAAAAGAAATTGTTCTTGAACTCTACATACTAATATATTGATACCGTAATAGTATAATATGGTATAACATTGCTGTTTTAGTATACAATGTATATGAACTAAAGATTCCCCAGAGGTCTTTCAGAAAATGAAGAAAATTAAAAAATGAAAAAAAAAAAAATTTTTTGAATTCATTTTGAAAAAAAATTGAAACTTTTTCTTATATTTTTCTGATGAGTTTTTTTTTAGTTTTGGTTTTAATTTTAAAATCGGTTTATCAGTAAAAAAAAAAAAAAATAAGAAATAATATTAGGATTTTATAAATTTAACAATAAAATGAAAAAATTTAAATTTAAATTCAAATTTAAATTCTTTTTAATCATAGTAAGTCTAATTTTGTATTTAAAATCTATTTGTTTGATTTTTAAAATTAAATGAGAGAATAATATTGACAGTATAAGAAAGATCTCGAAAAAAGTATTTCTATTTCGCCCTATTTAATCTACCCTGCATAATAAGGGGTTAGATTTTATCGCAGTCTTCTTTTAATACAAATAAAATAATTTCGTACCCCAGATTTCGAACTGACTTTCAAAAAAAATATTGTACTCCATTATTTATCGTTTGTAAGGCTTCACGTTTTTCCATTCATAAATGAATTATATATGAAGGTAAAAATTCTAATGCCGTTTGTACTTCTTCATTTTGAATTAATTAGCCTTGTTTCTTGGCTAATATTTGCTACTAAATGTATTATAATGTAAATTTGCATTTACATTTAAAAAAAAATTAAATATTTGAGAAACCAATGTCTGAGGTAACAGTAAGTACTCCTATAATGACGGATATAGGTTATAAAAAATAGTTTATTATCTAACACCGTGTCATTACAAATACACATAGAATTACATGTGCTTCTACAATATTTGTTATATAAATAAATTACATTTACATTAACAATCCAGTTTGTTTATGATTTTATAAGCAGACTAGAACTGCCGATGGATGTATTTACTGATGAGTCTATGAGTTTCTATATTATATACATGTTTACATATATTGAGTTTCCTAAATTGAAATATTGATTATTTGTAATTGATTTTGTAATGATATGGTTATTTTAAAATAAATTTTACTAACATTCTGTTATAATTCTGGTCCTGTTACAAGTTTCAACTAAAATCAAATTAATTTTTAATATATATACAGGACTCGCATATTTTAATGAAAACTGATGGCTTCTTAATGTTTTTCCTTTTGTAAATGTTAATCTATAATGACAGTTTTTTAACCACGGTTTAGAAAAATATAGAAGACGTCATATTCTTAAATTATTCTTAGAATTTCAAATTATTTTAATTATTATACGATTATTGAATATATAGAGTTTAAAATAAAAAGTATCAGTATCCTAATTAGAAAATAAAAAACAAAAATGATTAAAATTTTTTAATGCTTTAAGAGCTGCACTTCAACTGAAGCAAAAGTTTTCTTATTAAGAAAACCAAAAATAAATTTTTTTTCTCAAAAAAAACAAAAAGGATAAAAATTTTTCTACATTTTTCTGTCTTTTTTTTCTCTTTGTATTTTATAAATTGGTTGTCCACAGAGAATTTTTTTCTCTTTATTTTGTTGTTGTTTTTTTTTTCTTATTCCATTTTATTTAAACAGCATTGATTTTAATCTAATGTTTTTTGTCTCTTTTTTTTTTTTTTATTTTTAAAAATACAAATTGTATAAAAGAGAGAGGCTTGTATCGAATCTCAAAGGATTTAAAATAGAATTTTCTTTTAGGTTTTTTTTTTCAAAATGAAAGTTATTTAAAGGAATTGGACTATATTAAATGGTGTTTTTAAGCATTTTCGTTTGAATTGAAAATAAATATTGAAAGATTTGAAAGAGATTTATGTGAATTTTAGTATGTGCTTCTTTTGTTATTTTGTTAATGCTCTTATCGAATCAGACAAATATGTTTAAGTTTTGAATTATGCAAAGATATACATATGTATGTATGTATGAAAATTATTTGTGATAAAAAAAACTTTCAACATTATTATTTTAACATATAGACTTTTAATATATGCATTCAGATGACATAAGAATATTACAGTTTTACAATAAAAAAATCTCATATGGTGGCGAAATATTTTGATATCTTAATTGAATTGATTTTGAAATGTTGTTGAATAGTTTATAATTCTGAAATATGAGCAACAATATCGAACAATTATTATGGAATTGAGTGATGGTTCTAAGCCTAAGTAAAAAGAAAATTGAAATTGTATTACTTGTACATTAATTTATTGTTGCCAGGTAAGGTTTTCATCAATTATAACACCTAAATACTTAAATATGGTATTATTTCCAAATCAGAATCACCAAATTTAAGTCTGAAAATAAATACGTTTAAACAGAATATATTTTGTTAACCCGGTTCGTTCATGCTATTACTGACCGGTAAAATATCATTTGCATAAACTGAACAAATCAGACTCCGTTTTGTGTAGGATGAGGAGACGGCCATATGTATTCTGTGCGAATGTCCTGCTCTTCCTGCTAAGAGATGCAGATAGTTTGTTCGAAGCTTTCTCAGTTTTACGGAACTCGTGTCCAACTCTCTGAAGGATATCTCTGCGTTTTTGCTTAGGACCTATCCCAAGCGTTTTTGCTTAGGATAGTGTAAGTCTGATATGGGAGGGCTCCTACCAGGTAAGAGCTTCTACTGAGCCCAGGCGCGGTTCTGATGTATTCGTCGCCCTAAGCGGTTCCTAAAAAGTGCGCCCCCCCCCCCCCCCTTCAACCTTTTCACCTATTTTATTACTGTGAACAAAATTTAATAGGCATTGCACATTGTGCATCATAAAGCAGTTTTTTGTAACCTTATTGTGCTGAATTATAGAATTAAAGTCTGGAACTAAACTTTCAATTTTTTGTTTTATAAATTCAAAAACAAGGTAATTTATTTAACTGTACGTTTTTTTATGAAGTTATGATCAGATTTATATCAATCACTTAAACTTGATTTTTTGATTTTAACAACCAAAAAATTTACTTTTTGACGTAAGTGAAACTTATTGTAAAAGGTTCTATGAAAATTATATCAAATGAACTTTTTCAAAGCTTATTTGAATATGAAAAAAAGTAAAAAATTATTTTTATTTTTATTCGTAATTTTATTTTTATTTTTATAATTATTTTTATTTTTATTCGTAAAATTTGGCTTTTTATTTCATAAATCGCCTGAGAAATGAAGCAGCGTATAAAAAAAGTTTCGACTTGCATTCAAAAATTTAAGGAAAATCAAAGTTTCGTTCTAAAGCTTGTGACTTAAAAACTAAGCTTTTCATGTACATAGCTATAAGCTTTTATACTGTTCATTATATTTTTTAGATTTTATTAAAATAAATGCATTTACTGGTATTTATAGGCTCGTGGTTTTGAAATTTCAGAATGTCGTTTTGCTTAACTGTTTTAATTTTGGAGATAAATGTGTGAAGCAAATTATGCGCCATTTCATTTTACTCTTATTTTTTGGATGACTTACACTACATCAATTCAGCATAAAAATTCTTAACATTCACTTGATTATTAAACAACATTTTTCAATTCAATATAAGTAGTAGATTTTATCAATTAAAATTTAATTCTGTGATTGATAACAGTTTTTTCAAAAACGAAAGCAGAACATAGTAGTAGAAATTCATAACGATCATGTAATTTTAAAATTCATTCAAAATTTTTTGTTGTTAAACAAAAACAAAATATTGGTATACACAATCTCAATATCAAGCTATGCTTTCCATCATTTAAGAATATTGCTCTCA